GGTGAAAATATAGATCTTTGGCACAAGAGGCTTGGTCATATCAACGAGAAGGGACTTCAAATTCTTGCTAGAAAGTAGTTCTTACCAGAGTTGCAAAGTACATCTCTTAAATCTTGTGATCATTGCTTAGCTGGAAAAACACATAGAGTTGAATTTCATACATATCCATTATCTAGAAGATAAGATGTTATTGATTTAGTTCATACTAATGTTTGTACTATGCAAACTAAAACTCTTGGAGGTACTCTTTATTTTGTTACTTTTATTGATGACCATTCTAGAAGAGTGTGGGTTTTTGTTTTGAAATCTAAAGACCATGTACTCGATGTTTTCAAGGAGTTTCATGTCAGTGTTGAAAGAGAAACTAACAGAAAGCTAAAGTGTGTTCGATCAGATAATGGTTACGAGTACAGGGGGTCCTTTTGAGAATTATTGCAAGTTCCATGGTATCAGGCTTGAGAAAACAGTTCCTAAAACTTCTCAATAGAACGGTGTGGCAGAAAGGATGAACATAACCATTGAAGAAAAGATTAGGTGTATGATTTCTCATGCTAAGTTACCTAAGTCATTTTAGGGGGAGGCTATGAGAATTATAGTTAACTTGATAAATCTTTCTCCATCAGTTCATCTGAAATGTGATGTTCCAAAGAGAGTATGGAAAGAAAAAGATATATCTTATAATCACTTGAGAGTCTTTAGGTGTAAAGCATTTGTTCATATTCTAAAAAATGGTCATGAAGAGTTTGGGTACAGATTATGGGATCCAATGAACAAGAAGATTATTAGAAGTAGAGATGTTGTATTTCTTGAAGACCAATTGTTTCATGATGGTGATAATGTTGAGAAACCAAAAACCTCTGTTTATATTCCTTGGAGTTTGGGTTTAGTTCCTTCACCTGTAGTTTATGATGATCATGGGGAAGATGAATAAGAAGATTGTGGTGAGAATGTAAGTGATTATACTCCTACAGTTGATAATGCTAAACCAACTGAACAAGTACCTCCACCACCAGTTGAGATTCCATTGAGAAGATCCACTAGAGAGTGACAACCATCTACCAGATATCATCTACATGAGTATGTTATGCTTACTAACGGGGGAGAGCCAGAAACTTACTAAGAAGTTATTCTACATGAGCATAAGAATGAGTAGGTTAAAGCCATGCAAGAAGAGATGAGATCATTGCTAGAGAACCACACCTATGACTTGGTAAAGTTGCCTAAAGAAAAGAAAGCTCTCAAGAATAAATGAGTTTACAAATTAAAGATTGGAAATAATAGCTCATAACAAAGATACAAAGCAGACTAGTTATAAAAAGATTCAGTTAGAAGAAATGTATTGACTTTGAAGAAATATTTTCTAATGTGGTGAAAATATCCTTTATCCAAGTTGTTCTTGGTTTGGTTACTCGTTTGAATTTAGAAGTTAAACAACTTGATGTGAAAATAGCATTTCTTCATGGTGACTTAGAATAAGAAATTTACATGTAGCAACTGGAAGGTTTCAAAGTCAATGAAAAAGAAAATCTAGTGTGTAAGCTTACAAAAAGTTTATATGAACTCAAATAGGCACCTAGATAGTGGTACAAGAAGTTTGATTCATTTATGATAAGCCAAGGGTATAATAGAACCACATCTGATTTCATTATTCTCTTGCTATATGTTAATGATATGCTGATTGTTGGCCATGATGCTGGAAAAATTAAAAAGCTTAAAAGAGAGCTAAGTCTTTTGCCACAAAAGACTTGAGATCAATGAAACAAATACCTAGCATGAAGATTCTTCATGATAGGAAGAAAAGAAAGATTTGACTATCTCAAGAGACTTACATTAAAAAGGTTATTGAAAGATTCAACATGAGTAAAGCCAAAACAGTTTGTTCTCCACTTGCAGGTCATTTCAAGCTTAGTTCGAAACAATGTCCTACAAGTGAGAAAGAAAAAGAAAAAATATCTAGAGTGTCTTACTCATCTGCAGTAGGTAGTTTGATGTATGCTATGGTTTGTACTAGGCCAGATATAGCTCATGCAGTTGGAGTTGTCAGCCGATTTTTCTCTAATCCTGGAAAGGAACATTGGGCAGTAGTGAAATATATATTAAGATATCTAAGAGGTACTTCCAGGTTATGTTTATGTTTTGGTAGTATTGAACCTATGTTAGAAGGGTACACAGATGCAGACATCGCAGGTGATACTGATTCCAGAAAGTCCACTTCAGGGTTCTTGATGACATTTGCAGGGGGAGCAGTTTCTTGGCAGTCGAAGTTACAGAATTATGTTGCTCTATCAAACACAGAAGTAGAATACATAGTAATTATTGAAGCTTGTAAAAAAACTTTATGGATGAAAAGGTTTCTATAGGAATTAGGCTTGAAACAGGAAGGATATACTGTTTCTTGTGACAGTTAGAGTGTCATTCACCTATCTAAGAATTCAACATACCATTCCAGATCCAAGTATATTGATGTGAGATATTACTGGATTCGTAATGTGCTTGAGATAAAAGAATTACACTTGGAAAATGTGCATACCAATGAGAACGGATCATATATGTTGACAAAGTCTTTGCCTAAGGAAAAGCTTGAAACATATAGGCGAAGAGCGAGCATAGTATAGCCCATCATATGAGCCGGAGGGGAAGAATTATTGGGTCCAACCCATATGTGGGCTTGGACAATTGGCCCTTTTGAACCCAAATCAATAATTAAAAGGGTAGCGAACGTGAGACAGGGTAGCGAGAGCGCACAACGAAGTGAGAGAAAAGACAGAGAGAGGAAAAGAAAAGAAGAAAAATTAGGACTTTGAGATTTCTGCTTGACGATCAGTGGCCAAACGTTGTTAGTTTTGGCTCAAATTTTATACATAGAATCCTTATATTAAGCTCTACAATCCTAATAGTGTTGATCTACAGTTTACTTTCTATGAGGTACTTTCCTATTATACCCACTTTGTGAGAGATAAAATTCTCCTTTCGATGAGATCCATCATATGTGATGATGATATGTTATTCTTGAGCCAAGATCTATGTTCTTGATGTTATTATGATCCTCTGGTTATTCTAGAGAAGATTTATTATAAATTTGTTATCATTACTATTGATAGTGGAAGTTTGAGGTGGACTACGGTCCCGTGGTTTTTCCCGCATTGAGTTTTTCACGTTAAAAATTTGGTTTCACTATGTGATTGATTTATTGCTCTACTATTTATGCTGCTCTCGTTAATATTTGTATTTTGATATTAAGTTGGTATTTTGACGAGGAATCTATTTTGATACACAAAGAGAGAAAAGAATTATTTCGCTTTAACAGGTTTTTCCCATAATCCTTAATATGCTAATAGCAAAGCTCCCAAGTACAAATGTATTTATAGGTTGCACATCATATTTTACTAGGTATGAATTTTTAAATTACTACCGATAGGGTTAGATTCCATCTTATGGGAGTGGAAAATGAAAGGAGTATAGTCTAGATCAAATAAGTCCACCCATGATAGATTAGGTCAATTCGATCAATCATAAATAATAATTGAATCTTAAATAGTTATAAAGAATAATTCCTCACTAAATAACTCCTTACCCTTTTTAATTAGAAATGAGGTGTTACACTCAGTGATAGGGGTAGAAAGCTGACTTGACGTAACCCCCCGGATTTGACGTAATACACCCTCCCACGTCGGACGCCCAGCACGACGCATTGCCCCAGAAAGAGCATTAACGACGACGCGACACGCACCCACGCCCGTC